GCTCATATTTAATCTGCACATATTTAAGATTTATTCTGTTCATATTTAATCTGCTCATTTTAAAGATTTATTCTGTTCATATTTAATCTGCTCATATTTAAGATTTATTCTGCTCATTTTAACCAGCTCATATTTAATCTTCTCATTTAAGATTTATTCTGTTCACAATTAATCTGCTCATATTTAAGATTTAATCTGCTCATATTTAAGATTTATTATGCTCATATTTAAGGGTTAATTTGCTCAGATTTAATCTGCTCTGATTCAAGGTTTAATCTGCTCATATTTAAGGCTTAATCTGCTCATATTTAATCTGCTCATTTTTAAGATTTAATCTGCTCATATTTGTTTTAATCTGCTCATATTTGTTTTAATCTGCTCATATTTGTTTTAATCTGCTCATATTTCAGGTTTAATCTTGAAATTAGTGTTTTGAACTTTAAAACCTTTCATCAAACAGAAACTCTGGTTCTTAAATATTCGAAGTTTAGTTAAAAAGGATGAATTTGACGAATGAACTTAAAGTCGACACGAGAAGCTCTTTCCTGTTTGTCCCAACAAAACAAAATAAAAGGAAAAAAACCAGCATCATAGTTTATTTTGAAAGGATCACGAAGTGGAAACTCTGAACACTACGTTACCGATGACGTGTCCGGTGAAAAAGTTGTGTCTGTTGACCGGAAAGCTTCGCTCTCGGCCGTCCTCGTCCACGACGACAGCTCTGAAGTCCTCGGTGAAGATCTCGTTGTTGGTTCTCAGGTAAAGCCTGAAGTTCCTGCGCTCAGGAGCACACAGCGGGGTGAAGGAGCACGTTCGTACGCTTTACCAGATCTCGTTACAAGAACGAGCATCAGTAATGTCTGACCTCTGGAGGGCGCTGAAACTCAGCAGCTTCTCCACGTGGGTCTGGGTCTGGACGTCCCGGCGTTGGACCGAGTGAGTCTGCAGGCTGGAGAAAGGAAGGACGTCGAAATCGTCCAACATGGAGCTGATAGAGCCTGAGGAGAAAAACAACACTTCCTCTAATAAGATGATGACATAAAGTTGGTCTGAAACTAGATTTAAATAATGAAAAATTAATATTTATTATTAATTGCATTGTATTTGTGTAAATAAAAGATTTTATAGGATTTAAAATGTGTTTATACCCCCATAGCACTGCATAAGTTTAGTAATAATGTGTTACTAAATAGTTTTGAACTTAGTTCATTACAGCCTTGTAATAACGAATAATTAATAAAAAGCACAATTTAAATGTTTGAATTTAATATCTCAGAATAAAAGTTTAAAGTATTTAATTCTTAGTTTTTAATTTTAAATTTACAATTACAAAGAAGGGACATTTGAAATTGCATTGTTTGTTTGTTTGTTTTTGGCATAAATTGTCTTCCATATTTTCTAACTGTGTAATAACCGTTTATTCACTGAGTTTTCTTTAAAAACTCACACATGATTCACTGGCACAGCTTTAATTTTCTAGATTGACGAACTGTATCACAAACAAATTATTTTAACTTTTAAGTTAAATCAGAGTTGAGTGTTTTATGGCAACAGCAGGGTTCCATACATTCTGTCCGAAAATCAACTTTTTACTCTGAATGAAGGAAACTAATTTATCAGATTTTATTAAAAACTTTAAATTAACACGTCGGACGGACTCACCGAACTCCTGGTCCCGTGTGTCCGCGGGTGGAGACACGGCCGCCTCCGTTACAACCAGAAGAGCCGAGAAAACGAGAAGCTGCGGTCCCATGGTGGACAGTTTGACTGACGGCAGGAAACGACCCAGCACGACCAGCGGGTCGGTCAGACACAAACTTCTGACTTCAGACGCGTTTTCTGGGAGAAACTCGGCGATCCGAAACCCGGAGTCATTGTTTTTAAAAAAAATAAATAAATAATTAAAAACACGCAGAAAGTACGCCTCCAGTCCGCAGAACCAGGAAGACCGAGCGCTGCTGAGGAAAGCTGGCGAAAACCGAGGAGGGGAACCGGAAGTTGTGGCCTTCACAGTAAAAGCACAGAAAGACTAACTCTAAATTAGATTGTGGGTTTAAATGTATCTGAACATTACAACGTCTGGATATTTTGACATTTTTTAATTAAATGTATGTCTGCTGTTATGGTGTTTTAAATGTTGTTTTACAGATACAGTAATGCAAAATAAAGCCAGGAAAAAAATAAACACATCAAATCTGAAGTAAAGTCTCAGTCAAGAATAGAATAGAATAGAATAGAATAGAATAGAATAGAATAGAATAGAATAGAAACCGCCTTTATTGTCCCACAGAGTGGAAATTAAGGTGTAACAGTGGCAGCAGATATAGTTCTAAAGTGTTAAAAACAATATATAATAAATAAGATTAATAATACTAGCAATAATAATAATAAAATAACAAAATACTGCACAAGGCAATAACAGAAAAACACTGTGCAGTTTTAGAAACAGGCATGTTGGATACACAATCCAAAAAAAGAGAAAAATGTAAATATTTCATTCATTCATTCATTCAGTCATTTAATTTATCATGTAAATGATACTGCATATAATACACAATAACATTAACACAAATAGATAACACAACAAAGCACAAAGCTTATTTCCACTGTGGTCCATTTGTTTGTATTATTTACTTGAAAATCATCCATGTTTATTTATGTATGCTTCACTGTTGTCAGGACCTTTAATACCTGTAACAAATATGAAAGAATAAGAAAATGAAGACATGAGCAGAAATTTAAAAAGAAAAAAGTTCAAGTGTTCTGTTTTTGTAGCGTTACTGTAAAGTTCCCTAAGTTTTATTTTCAGTATTATCATAACTTGTTTTTGTTTTATTTACTATTGTTTCTTTCTAGATATTGCTACAATACATTTGCATGTTTTTATTTAGAAGTGTCACAAAGAAACCCACCCATTTGGGTTTTATTTTGAAAATCTGCACTTCCTCTTTGTTCCTGTTGTCTCGAGCTTTTGACGTGTTTGAGACCGAAACGCGTGAAAGAAAAATCCAAGAAGAATGCTCGTGATTTTATAAACATTCACCGAAACAGACGACAAATAACATTTAACAACAAAAACAACAACAAACAAACAAAGTTTAAACAAAAGTGAATCGTTTCGTGACGTTATGTAAGAGAATAACGGAAACATCTGGCGAGTCTATTTTTAATCTCTGATCTCATCCAAATCCTCTTTCAAACCAGAGACCAGAGTCTCTGCAACACAGAATCACAGCAAATATGATAGAAAACAGAGCTGACTGTAAATAAATAACAACAAAACTGTAAATGTAAACAGTTCAAACATATACGGAGCGTTTTGGGCGGTAAATTCAATGAAACGTCAGGTGTTAACGCTGCAGGTGACCTTTATTTTGAAGGTCACCTTCCGTTTCATTCAGTCAAAGCACCGGGATGTTTCCTTGTTTTTAAAAAATATTTAAAAGTTATTTTAACCCATGGAAAGTTGTAGTTCTCGTGGCGGCCTGTTGGGGGCAGCAGAATCACATCCTTCAGTTTACAGGAAGTCAACGAAGAAGAAATACTCACTTCCGGTTTCCACATGTCGGCGTAAATAAATCCCGATGAAAATCAAACGTTATGGATTGAATGCCGTTTGTAAGTCACCATGGATGAAGAACACACGGTAAATCCTGCTGAAATTTTTAGTTTTTCATAAAGTTGATGCACAAATTTATGGTGAACAGGAGCGTCGGTGTTAGCTAGTTAGCACCAAATCACGTTATCTAAATGGCTTTTTTCTTGTTACTCATAAATATTGAATATTGCATAATATTTTAATACATTTTAAACAGTTGCCACCGAATATGCTAAGACTGGTTCAATAATCGGCATAAAATAAATGGTTATAAACTTAAAGGTAAACATTTTACAGTAAAATTGTTTATTTTTTTTACTGCTGTGCAAATGTACCTCATGTAGTTTGTAGTTTCACTTGTAGGAGCTGGTCATTTTAAATTATATTTCTTAATTGTGTTATTTCAAGTTCGTTTTAAATATTAAAATTGATTCTAAAATATATTTATTTAAAGATCTGTTAAAATATAAAGTTCGTTTGTTTTTAGTTTTCTTTTTTTATTGTTATTGTAGTTTAATTGTCTATTTTTTCAGGTTGATCACATCATTTTACCAGTTTCTGACCCTCAATTAAAAACATTTATACTTAGTGGTTTCATGCAAATGTTTCTGATGATGACGTCAACTCGATCCCAGTTTTTCATAAATATTTTGAGTTTATAGGATCAGTTTTCTGCGATCATGTTTGCCTTGGTTGCAGCTCTGCCTGCATCAACAACATAAAGGGTTTAGTTTAATTTGTCAAACAGAACTTTTCTTTTGTTTTCGTTTCTCTCTTCTGACCTGTGATTTTTGTTTTTTAAATTGTATTATTATTATTATTGTTGTTGTTTTTGTTTTTGTTGTTTTTTTATTTATTTTATTTTTTATCTTTTTGTTCAGGCGGGATACAGGGAGCCCTGCGCACAGTGTGCGGAGGTGAACTGGGGCATCTCAGATGAGGGTCGGTTCTACTGCAGGTCCTGCCACAACGTCATTGAGGTAAACAACAAACAAACAAAAACAACATCAGTTGATTTGAGGTCTGTACTGTGAATTTCTGCAGTTCTTTATAAATTCACATTTTACCATGGAAACACAGTTTCTGCAGGTCTCAAAAGACCTAAAACACAAGAAAGTTGAGAATCTGGAGGTTTTAAAATAAATGAAATGAACTTGGTTTTAAAAAACAGAGAATGGTTTTGTGTGCAGTACCTCCAGCTGTCAACAGGGGTCACTGTCCCGTCTTTAAGTTTTTTATTTTGTTCTCAGAGAACCAGAGAGGCGGAGGTCCTGACCTTCCAGCAGGGGACCAGTAGAGTCACGACCATCAAGAAAGGTCCGAGAACCAAGAAGGAAGGTCAGTGTCCGTTTCAACCAGCCTGTGAACGGGTCACCTGTGGTCCCAGTCCAGGTAGATTCTGTCTTTGATCATCAGGACCCAAACTTTGACCCATTTTCTGATGCTCCTCAGGGACCGGCTACACCTGGACCGTCTGCGAGGGTTTCCAGTTCATCCTGACGATGCAGGCCGACGCTCTGCTCAGACTGGGACTCAGTCCCCGTTTTAAGGTCCCGTTTTTGGTGGATCTTATGGATCCTCCATCGACATTCGGACCCATCTGATGTTTTTTTTTTTTTACTGTTTTCAGGACGAGGTTCTGTGTCAGCTGTGGAGACTGTTCCTGCAGAAGAGCCAGCAGGCGTACTGCCAGAACCAGGCCACCAACTTCAAGTTTGGACCGGTCAGTTGTTGGATTTATTTATGTTTTAGTGAAATAAAACAGGAAAAGGACACTGATAAGCTCCTCCCCCCCTCAGAAGGGCATGGAGTCGGATTCAGACAGCGCCGCTGAGTCCATCACCTGGACTACTGACGGAGAGTCGAACCCGCCCAGCACCGCCGGTTCTGATGCAGGTACCACAGAAACATCTCGGCTAAACAATAAAAATTATTTAAATTTACTGTTTTTAAAGTTCAGATGTTCTCCTGCAGAAAACAAAACCATGAAACCATTCCTTTGATCCTCAGAGATCTTCAGTGATTGGACGAGCTCGGAGGGCTTCACCGACCCGGTGGCTCCGCGGAGGAGGTGCCGCAACCCGATGAGCATGAGGAAGACTCTGGCCCTGATCCACCTGGCTCTGATGTGGAGCCACGAGGAGCTGACGCTCAGCGACCTGCTCAGGTAACACCTGGTCCTCACACTTGGTCCTCACACCTAGACCTCACACCTGGACCTCACACCTAGACCTCACAACTGGTCCGCACTCCTGGACCTCACACCTGGACCTTACACTTGGTTCTCACACGTGGTCCTCACACCTGGTCCTCACACCTGGACCTTACACCTGGTCCTCTCACCTGGTCCTCACACCTGGACATCACACTTGGTCCTCACACCTGCACCTCACACCTAGACCTCACACCTAGACCTCACACCTAGACCTCACACCTGGACCTCACACCTGGACCTCACACCTGGTCCTCACACCTAGACCTCATACCTAGACCTCACACCTAGACCTCACACCTGGTCCTCACACCTGGTCCTCACACCTGGTCCTCACACGTGGTCTTCACACCTGGTCCTCACACCTGGACATCACACTTGGTCTTCACACCGGGTCCTCACACCAGGACCTCACACCTGGACCTTACACCTGGTCCTCACACCTGGTCCTCACACCTGGTCCTCACACTTGGTCCTCACACCTGGACCTCACACTTGGTTCTCACACGTGGTCCTCACACCTGGTCCTCACACCTGGACCTTACACCTGGACCTTACACCTGGTTCTCACACGTGGACCTCACACTTGGTCCTCACACCTGGACCTCACACCTGGACCTCACACTTGGTTCTCACACGTGGTCCTCACACCCGGTCCTCACACTCGGACCTCACACCTGGACCTCACACTTGGTCCTCACACCTGGACCTCACACTTGGTCCTCACACCTGGTCCTCACACTTGGTCCTCACACCTAGACCTCACACCAGGTCCTCACACCTGGTCCTCACACTTGGTCCTCACACCTGGACCTCACACTTGGTTCTCATACCTGCACCTCACACGTGGTTCTCACACTTGGTCCTCACACTTGGTCCTCACACCTGTCCTCACACTTGGTCCTCACACGTGGTCCTCACACCTTGACCTCACACTTGGTCCTTACACCTGGACCTCACACGTGGTCCTCACACCTGGACCTCACACCTGGTTCTTACACCTGGACCTCACACTTGGTTCTCATACCTGCACCTCACACTTGGTTCTCATACCTGCACCTCACACTTGGTTCTCATACCTGCACCTCACACTTGGTTCTCATACCTGGACCTCACACTTGGTTCTCATACCTGGACCTCACACTTGGTCCTCACACCTGGTCCTCACACTTGGTCCTCACACCTGGACCTCACACTTGGTCTTCACACCTGGACCTCACACTTGGT